ATCCTCCCTAACTCCCTACCTACACTCACCTTTACTGGCTCCATCCCCACCTCCTTGACCTGTTTGTTTCCTCTCCTCTATCCCTCTTCTGTCCGCCTCCCCCTCTCTCCCTATTTATTTCAGAATCCCCTTCCCCTCCCCCATTTCTGATGAAGGGTCTGGGCCCGAAACGTCAACCTCTCTGCTCCTATGATGCTGCTTGGCCTGCTGTGTTTAGCCAGCCCTGCACCTTGTTACCTTTGAACTGAAGGGAATGTTTCTAATGTGGGCGGAGTTCGTTGTTGGGCGCGGTTTGAATTGAGGGCGGGGCCGGTGGTGATGACTTGTTTCGCTATTTGGTGTGGTATGGATTGGGGGCGGGGTTTTTTGGTGTGGGCGTTGCCAGCGCTGGGCGTGATTGGTGTTGAGGGCGGGGCCGGTGATGAAGGACGAGATCGTTATTGGGCGCATTTTGGTTTGGGGGCGGGGTCTGTATGTGGGCGGGGCCTTGAAGGGCGTGGTTTGAACGGTGGGGTGTTAATGTGGGCGGGGTGTGAGTGGTTGGGGGAGCGGAGCCAGCGTCGGGCGGGGTTTGAATGGGGGGCGGGGCCTCGTGCCCCCAATGCCCCGCCCCCTCCCCTGCCTCCCTTGTCCATAACGGTCTGTCGTCCCCTCTCTCTAACGGCCGTCGCTATTGCTTCAAGTGGGGGCTGAGTGCAGACAAGGATGTTTTCCTGCTCTAGGACCTCGTCGCCGGGCACGGCCACCAGCACGACCACCGCCCCCTGCCAGGAGCGGCAGAATGAGGTGGCGACCTGCGAGGTTGCCGAGAAGGACCTGCAAGAGGGCATACAGGAGGGCAAGGAGCAGATTAAAGAGCTGAATGAGCGCTTTGCCAAGTACATCAACAACACTGTGCTGAACCTGCAGCGCAAGAACAAGGAGCTCCTGGCTGAGCTCAAGAAGCTGGAGAAAGAGGAGTTCGTGTCAGTGGAGAAGGCTTACCAGAAAGACTACCAGGACTTCCAAGCCAGGGTGGATGAGATCCAGAATGAGCTGGTGCTCCTCAAACTAGAGAAGGACAAGCTCAAGGCCCGGCTGGAGAAGGAGTGCCAGCTGAAGCGGGAATTTGACCGCGACTTCCAGCACCTGAAGAAGAGCTACGAGGACGCGTCGGTGGGTCTGGAGAAGCTCCAGTGCCAGTACAAGCTGCTGGAGGCCCAGCTGGCTCAGCTCAAGCTGGTGCGCGACCAGGAGCGCATCTACTGGCAGCAGAAGGTGGACAACCTGCAGAACCTGGACCAGACGGAGAACGGCACCCTGGACCTGGAGCAGGCCCTGCGCAACATGCGCCAGGAGTACGACCAGATGGCCCGCCGCAACAAGGAGGAGCTGCAGCGCTACCGCCACAAATTTGAGGAGAACTGCGTGCCGCTGCAAAAGATCAAGAAGGAGACCGAGGGCTACCGCAACATGGTGACGGACCTGCGGCTGCGGGACGAGATGCACAAGAACCACCTGCAGGAGAAGGAGCGGGAGATCAGCCGGATCAAGGAGTACAACAAGTCATTGGAGAAGAAGATCGAGGCGCAGACCGCTGACTTTCAGACTCTGGTGGCAGTGAAGAATGGGCTGGAGCAAGAGCTGTCTGGCTACAAGAGCCTCTTGAATCAAGTGGAGAAGAAAGCGAGGGACTATAACTCTCCAGTTTGTTTAACAGCCCCTCCGCCTCCTCCCAAACCCGCTGATGATGTGAACAAGATGTGGTGTTAGTGCTCTTTAAGGACATTCACGGTTACAACATACGAGGCATACTTGTATACACTGATTTTATTTTGAAGTTTGAGAACAATACTTAAAAGACCCTTTAAAGTCGAGACAGCAATCTGAGTATTTTGTTAATAACTGTCAAATCTGTTATCAGGCACAACAATGTTATGCCCAATTTTTTGGAAATTCATCTAACCTTTGCTTTTAGCTATTTATGCTTAGTAAACAGGTGTCCCCATTCATGTACAAAAGATTCTAAGAATGTCCGTAATGTGGAACATGTTATAAGAACAGATTTGTTTTTGTTCAAAGTACCCCAATTCTACCAGAACTCCAGCAGATGCACCTTTCGGCCACATAGCTTTATATATGAAGTTCATAAGTCCCAATTAACTTTGCTGGTTGCCATTTTGTCAAGTTAGTTGGTGTCATTATTTAGGTTTTATTTTCTGAGAGTATTTGGAACACGCAATTTTGTCAATCAGAGGGAAGGCTAAACTGCAATTGTTTGCAACACAGTACCATTTTAGTTTTTCAGGTATCCCTTTCATTCAAACCAGTGTGAGAAAAGTAAAGTTTGATCATTTAATATGTGTAACAAATGTTACCTTTTCATCCTAATTTCACCATTAAACCACATCGTAAACAATATTTGGAGTGATAGTTTGTGATAAGTTCAAAACGTTTGTCAGTCACCATGTAGAAATGTTTGACATTAATTCCACACAAAGACATGTGCTGCACCATTAATACACCAAAACTAGGTTATTTTTGATGTTTTACATTCGTACAATATATTCCTTTCACAGGTTCTACATTCATGTTTCTGGTAGAACCTGCAGTAGGGGCAGAACTCAACACGTGTTCCACACTCAAGACTCTTGAGTTATCAGGGAAGAAGAGCTGAGCTACGTTCATGTAATCTTGCTAATCTTCAGAACACCTTCTGCAGAGGTATTGCAACCAAGGTGAAACAATTTCACATACTGTGCGGAATGGAGCACCCATTGACGCAGATAGATGTCAACCTAGGCTTCAGAGCAGCTGCTCATTGAGCCTATCTGGTGTAGGGTCCAACTCCAACCCAACCCTTCTGACTGAGCTGGGAGTGTCACCACTCATTAAGAGTGCCATTAAGACCCTGAAATTGCCTCTATTGGCTACATCATTGTGCCAGCCCTGCAGGGGTCTATGCTCATGCAGCAATACAATACTTCTGTGAGCTGGGCAACTGCTTTTTTTCTCCCCCACTAACATCTAAGCATTAAGATGCAGAAATGTAGGTGAAAGCGCAAAGGATACGGTTCACATTTCATCAACAAAATTATAGGCAGGAATCAAGTTAAAGTCTTTTGTTTTTCCATTGGTAAGCCAATGAAGGTTTTAAAAAGCCTCACTTTTTCTAAAGGCCACCGCTACTCATTTTCATATCCATTCATAGCACGTTGGTGTCGCTGACTGGGCCAGCCTTTAGTGCCCATTGTAACAGTCTGAATTAAAACTACGTGTACCATTTTGAAATAGAATCAGTAAAGGAATCGTATCAAGTAAAGTTGTTACGCTAGTACTGGAAATGAAAAGTGAAGAATGTGGGGATGGTAAAAGCACGTCTTTTAGTATTGAGTGCTCTTTACCTTTAACTCAACTTTTATGTTTCGCAATGCGTATTTCTGTCTGTTTCTTAAGTCCAAGTATTTCCAATTTTTCCATGTGATTCTGTCAACAGAGAGAGAACGACAATGTTTAATAGGAGAATAGGTCAAAAGCTGCAAGTGAATTATTCCTTCGTGAAAACTCCTTTCATTTCATCCAAGTTTTCTGCAGCTATGTCCTGTGTTTTATGAAAAACCAAATAGGATTACAAGTGTGGAAAGAATGAGGAAAGATGAGATTTTGTAAAACCTCTTAGTTAAGAAACAGAGCGTCATTGAGGTCTTAGAATGTGAAGCAGTAGAGATAAAATGAAAGAATATTATTACAACTAGTGAAAAGTTTAATTTTGATAATGCGTCAATGCATTAATTTATTAATGAACGTTTTGCTATTATATCTGGAAGACTATTCCAAGCGTTTATCTTTATTTCTTCTTTATTTCTTCTTTATTTCATGAGATGTAGAAGTCATTGGTGAGGTCAGCGTAGGGCAGCATGGTGGCTTAGTGGTTAGCACTGCTGTCTCGCAGCACCAGGGATCCATGATCAATTCCAGCCTCAGGTGACTGCCTGTGTAGAGTTTGCACGTTCTCCCTGTGTCTGAGTGGATTTCCTCCCACAGTCCAAAGATGTGCAGGTTAGGTTCCCGTGGATTAGCCATGGGAAATACAGAGTTAAAGGGATAGGGTAAGGGTGTGAGTCTGGTGGGATGCACTTCAGAGAGTCAGTATGGACTTGGGCTGAATGGCTTGTTTCCACCCTGTAGGGATTCTATGAATTTGTTGCTCACTCCTTCAGCTACGTCGCTTACTCAATCATTTCAGAGGGAATGAGGTGGGTTTGAGGTTGCATTTAAAGATCGCAGCTTCCTTCCCTAAATGACATTTGTGACTCAGGTTTTTACAACAATCGATGTTAGCTTCTTGAAAAACATCACTTTCAATCCAAGATTCACTAATTGAATTTAAATTCCACTAACTGTTGCAGTGGGCTTTGGACCCATGTCCCCAAAACATTAGTCTGGGCCTCTGGATTACTAGTCCAGAGATATTATTAGTATGGCACCATCTTCCCATAGAAACTCATTACTTCAGGATGGAAGACTGGATGAGTTAGAGTCTCAAGAAATGAGGCTGGATGGGTACAATGACCTTAGCTATGATTGCTGTTAGGAGAAAACATGTTCATTTATTTAGCATTTTCCAAGACCTCTCAGGCCTTCCAAAATTGTATTACAGGCAACAAAATACTTTTGAAGTGTAGTCACTGCTGTATTGCCGGAAGCAAGATAGTCAATCACTTACAATTCAAATGCCCAAAGATGCAATGAGCTGTGTTCTAACAATGCTAGTTGAGGGATAAATATTGACCTCGAATACCAGTTGGAACTGTTCTTCAAAGTAAAGCTTTAGAAA